GCTATGGCACTGCAGGTAAGTCTCCCTGACCTCCGCCCAATCTCTATCTCTCTCCAGTGCTACTCTAGCTCCTAATAGCGCCCAGTGCTGAAGACTACTGCTAACGCTACTACTACTACTGCAGATCTCCTCCAGAGTGCTGCTGCCGAATCCTGAAGTCTACCTCCTGCCTGCTGAACTGCACGTGAAGTGCCTGGGAAGTCCCTATGAACAACCTGCAGCCTGCAGGGCGGGCCAGTCTTGTATAGTGCTGGCCCGTCCAGGACGCTGCTCTTGCCAATGCCAAAACGTGCCAGACCCTGGCGTTGAAGCTCAAACAAAGGTCTTGAAAACAGGCCCAAAATGGCCTGTGCTAAAACCCTGGTCTGGTGCCTAACTTTCAGGGCAGGTTGATCTTATGAGGGCCTGAAAATGGCCCTCCGTTTAAGGCTGAAAAGACTCAGGGCCTGGAGGGCCCTGTCTTAGACTGAAACGACACAGGGTCTGTAGGCCCTTGTTTTCAGGCTTTCAGGCTGAAACAACACGGGGCCTGAAAATGGCCCTTGTTTGTAGGAGACTGTGTGTGTGTCTTAAATTGTGTAGTGTTTTGTGTGCATCAGTCGACTCTGCATGTTTGTCAAGGGGCCTTTTTCAGTTCATCTTTTGTTGACAACCTTGCATGTGCACATTTGTCCAGCTTGTTTTTTGAATTTTCAGCGTGCACTTTTGTCAGTCTTGCAGAGATCTTCAGGTGTGGACTGATGTGTGCCATGTCTCTGAATTGGCTTCCCTGTTTTGCAGGCTGAAATGCTCAATCCCACAGGAGCTTCAGAAGCGTCCAGAGTATTCGTTCTTGATAGCACTATGCTCATCAACTGTGGCGACATTTGCTTGCTACCCACTTGACACTGTCAGGCGCCAAATGCAAATGCGAGCAACTCCTTTCAAGTGTGTGTCTGAGGCGATTCCAGGTGCCGGTCCTTCTCATCTTTTCTATACTTCAAGTCTTTGTCTAAGGCAATTCCAGGTGTTGGTACCTCCTCATCTCTTCTCCTCGTCTCTTTTTGTCCGTCCTCTGTTTCCTGTACTCTTCCTGTCACCCTCCATGTGCTCGGGAGACAGTTGGACCTCCTGCTTGTGGTTAAATCTACCTCGGTTTGGCTTTATCAACGCACTGGTGCTTTTTTGGCCTGAATGGCCCTCACAAAACTTTACAGATGTGTACTTCACATAATGCAAAACCCACTAAAAAAGTTTCAAAAAATAATAAAATTGTTTAGACCTTGAACTAAAGTGAAAACAAAAAGTAAAAAGTGAAAAAAAACGTGGGCGAGCACGTTTTGACACCGCCATCTTTGGCGATTTTTCATTCTTATTTGGATGAGCCAAATGACTTGAAAATTTATAGGCATGTACCTCACGTCATAGAGAACGTACAAAACAAAGTGCAGAAAAAAAACTTATTTTAGGCCCCGAAATAATTTTTGGCGGGGGCTGAATGCCATCGGGTTCGAACCCCGTACGGGACCCCGAACGCCCGTACGTACGGAGGTCTGCCCGGGGACCTCCGTAAGTATGGGCTGGTGACCCTGGCGGCGATAATGTACTGCACTAATAATGCTTTTGCAATTTTAAAACATTAATTATCATAGTTTTTTTTTGTTTTTTTTATAGTAACTGTCGCTTATAAAAAACAAATACCATTATAGTGAGGCTAACAACAATAAATGTAACAGTTAAATGGATGAGTATCATCAACAAGTGAAGATATAATTATCTCAATAGTTATCCATCATAATTATTAGTAAGCGCATATATGTGCATCATGATGATGAAAAAATTATAGTAATAATCACGATAAAGGACAATCACACGGTGATCAATGAAAATTTCCAACAATAAAGGCCTCCATATGCATAAGGAATGAAAGTAGCATATTCTACTTCCGAAGTTTTGACAGAAGTATATTGTGTCGAAGGATAGTGTAATCCTCTTTTAAAGGGATAACATCTTAAATTCTTGAGCCCCACTCAAGGATCAAGCCTCACTGCTTCTCCTTCTGATTCCATCATTTGTCCCTTGCACACCCTTGTCGATAAAGTACACAACCTCACTATACACGCTCCAGGATGTGTTGCCCCTTCCCGTGTTGATGAACATACTTGACATAAATATGGTTGGCGAATCACCCCCTACCTCCTTGTGGCACTCAATTGTTGCTTCCCTCATAGACCATGGTCTGACAAGGCCTAGACACTTTCCTCTTATTCAGTAGTAATGAACTCATTTTCCCACGAAGGCTTAGATGATAACACCCCACTTTGGACCAGGAACATAGTTTCGCCGTGGGTCTCACTACTACTTATAAGACGAAATTATAACTTTTTCAAACCATTTTTCAGGGAAAGGATAACTAAGGATTCCATTTTCCCCTTAGGGTAGATTATATACATTGACCCTTTCCTTGAGAGAATCTCTTCTCCCAAAGAGTCAGGCACTCCATTCACCTCCGACCCTACATCGGACGTGGATTCTGCACAACACTTCTACCCGTTATAAAGAGGAGCAACCCTCATGTATAAGTTTAAATGAATGTTCCGGATTTAGTGCTCACCGCCATACTACACATCCGGAAAAATCCAAGCGGGAAGAAAACGCGGACCAGCTGTCCCCACAACACAGAAAGGGCGATGAGGGAGGATGTCGGATAGTCATCCATGGTGGCAGCAAGGCACAATACAGGTAAGTTGACTCCGCCTCACAAACGAATGACCAACCGACTATTTAAGGTTTGTTAGCAAGGACCTTAGGAATTATTTAACGATGCAGTCAGGATGTCGTGGCCAATAGTAGGTAGGATCGCTCCCAAGACTTACGGGCTCCTCACTGCTTTGCCTGGTTTGGTCACACGCCAATCAGTACCGGTCATTGGGCTAGCCGGGTTGTTTTACGAGCGCCGACCACTCATGCCCGTGCTCCCTACTGCGCAGGTAGTGCCTCCAGTTGCCGAGCTCCCACCCTAGACCTAAAGTATTCACAGGACTGCTGACTCAAAGCAAAGAGACAACATCAACAAGATTGGCTTGCAACAGACGTCACCAAGAAAGTGCATGGAAAAATTCACGAAAAAACACACAAAAATAATTTCAGCAGGCAGGGCTAAGGCCCAAGGCCAGAAGCACTTCACTGGGGTCTTCACGTCGTCGCTCCTTGCTGGTCTTCGCCCCCCGCAGGTACGTGGATCTCGCTCCCAACCCTAATTCTCGCCCCTTCTTCTTCGGCTTGCCTCTATCAGTCTAACCCCGTTACTTTGCTCACCCGTCGGCCTCGTGCCTTGCCGACTTTCTTCCACCACCGCAGTGCAACGGGTTCCAACTTCGATAGCAATGCAATGAAGATCATGATATCAAACCAACTCGAACATGCAAGATGAGAGCATTCACATGGAAGTGCAGACCACACTGGGGACACATGAATCAGCACCAGATATGTTTCCACTCAAAGACATGATATTACACAAATGGAGAGATCAAGTGTTCAGCGGCAACTGCCGCGACTCAGCACTGTATGCACTCGACTTCCCTCTCCCCTGATGTCTGGGTTCTCTCTCTCTCTCTCTCTCTCTCTCTCTCTCTCTCTCTCTCTCTCTCTCTCTCTCTCTCTCAAGTCTTCGACCTCTTTGTGCCTCACTGTGCTCAAGCTTCCTCTCTCTCTCTTTTAGGATCTACCCTGAATACAACTGCGATGTATCTCCGCAGCTTGGTGGCTATGGCCGCTGTCTTCCTCCTCCCTACTATCTTGGCTATGGTTGACTCTCATCACCAGGGCGCCTGCTTCTTCCCCGACGCTTCACCCTTCGTCTAGGTCGCACTATCGCACAGCAGCAAACAGCGCTTTTGCAACTTTGCGAATGAAAAACTGATTTGACTTGGCACTGTAGCAGGTAAATATACTTTCAGTTGACTGTTCGTGCCTGCTTCAGACTGGTGTCGGTCGTCCGCGGCCTCTACCTTGCCAAAGTTGGTGTTTCCGGAAGCCTCCAGACTTTCTTGGGGCGCCGCTGCAAATTTGGACTTGGGACTTGACTACCTCTGCAGGTACCGACGAACTTTTACCGGACTGTCCTGGCCTACCAAGACAGCTTGGGACCGGGAGCAACTGGGACCTCAGGACCGGGACTTCAGGGACTGACTGTGTGAAATCATTTCACTGTGGTTGGAGGAAGCATTGAAGAGGTGTGTGGTCTCTTACCTTATCTACCCTCCTTTATTCTTCTTACCGCAAGGAGTGTTCCACTTAAGAGTTCGGGTGTTTCCCACCCTGGAGAAAGTGCCTCGGACATACTGGTGGTTTAACCAGCCACGTTTTGGAAATTACTTATTCTAAACATTAAGGGGGATCTGTCCTTTCGGACATCCGTTAAAATTGGAACGATACAGAGAAGATTAGCATGACCCCTGCGCAAGGATGACACGCATAAATCGAGAAATGGTCCAAATTAAATTAGACCACCAGTACCTCCGCCAGTGTTGGGAAATTACGATGTCTTGGCCAGTACCCGAACTTTTCGAGGGTGGGACACAGGGTCGGCAATGTCCCATAAATCTGAATTTTATAGTGCCACGAGTGAACGGAAAAAGGGGAAAAAAAAATGCTTTCTCTACTGCAATGATGTCGGGCTGGGTAGTCGAGGAGGCCGTGCTCACAATCTTCCTCCGCAGAATGCACCTTACAAGTAAGGCGGTCACATTCTGAATGTTATTGTTTTCTTTTTTTTTCTTGGTCGTGTGTCTCTTATGAGTCCAATGTCCGTGAATTGCTCAAGTTGTCCGTGATCTGCTCAAGTTGTGTTTCGTCATAGGATTGTAAGGCTCATCACACTGGCACTTAGGGGAATGTATCCAGCCATTTTCACGGTCGGATCCATGTGCTCGTTTTTTCCCCCTTTTATTCTCTTTTTGGAATCTGGCAACCTGGCCACGGGGTTGAGATGCCCTCATTGAGGGCACACTCACACTACCACTTCCAAGAATGTATACAACTGCAATCACGACCAAAGCGTTGTTTCCTTTTTTTTTTCTCTTCTTTTCTGAGGTTCACGACCGCAACTTTTCTTCTTTTTTGTTTTTTTTTTGTTCTTTCCGTGAGAGTACGAGAAAGAAAACGGAGTGGTACCCAGGCTCGGCAAACTCGGAGCACAGTGAAATTCAGGGTCGGCAAAAACAGGCTCGGAGGTAATGGTGGTTAAAAAAAAAAGAAAAAAAAAAAACAAAACATTGAGGGGGATCTATTCCATTGGCAGAGATCAGGAGGAGCCTATGCTAAGCAATGGATGGATTGTGGTGTATGAAGCATGTATGGAATCAAGAGATGGGGGATTGGATACTAGAGGACGAGGTCCTGGCCTGCTTGCCCTTTCAATCCACGAAGCAGGCTAGCTACAGAGCGATCGAGCAGGTGATCCTGCCACAGTGGGGTTCAACCCAACACATTGGGGGAGGGCTTTTCCTTTGGGACAACGCTTTTGTTCAATCCCTCTCCAGCAATCGATACGACCACTTCACAATCCGCCTCAGGCTACACCCACCTGATGGGTGCAGCTGGTAATACTGCAGATGCCTGCCAACCGACTACTTCCAACACGAGGGGAACGACAATGGATTTGGGCTCTTGCTGCCATGAGGACATCCGACAGGAGGCCGCTAGATGGCTCACAGAAATCCTGCAGACCGCGGATGCTTGACTCTTCTCAGCTTCTTCACCCGTGTCCCCTTCTACTGTAACCTATTTGTCATCGCCTGCCTGGGAATCTTCTCACCATAGACCGTAGAGTGCTCTCACTGTTCATTTGCTTGTTTTGACAATTGAGTTGCCGATGCATTTTCTCGCCACCCGGAGTATATGACTTGCCTTGTAAGCTCCTACGACCTCCGAAAGAAATTGAAGGAGGAACTCGTGGAGCAAACTGCCA